ACATAAATCTATATTTTTATTGATAATTAGTGAATATTTAAAATTATGGCATGATGTTGAACAAGTAATGGCTTCTTGGAGGGTACGAGGCTCTATCCAATCCTATTAACCACCTCAAATCTCAACATCCTGAAAGCCAAACTCAAACATGACCCTCTTCATTCTTACAGCTCACTAGCATCAGAAGAAACTCCTTCACCTGAATGACAAGTAAAAATAATATTTATAGTCATTTTATTCACTGCAAACAAAGAAGACCACAATCCATGCACGTGAGGCAGGATACATTACTAAGGTGGGTCTTTCAGTGAGTAGAAGGCTTTGGTCATCCTACGCTTCTTGCAGACAATATTTCAAATCCGCTATCTTGTCAACACGAAGCACCTGATCACAACATAAATGGAAGTTCTACTTCAATGAATCTTTAAGAAAAGAGGTTTCAACATTAGATTATATTCTAAAGAGTTTCACTTTGAATGCATCGTCGATCTTATCGTCCCTGATATAGATAGCTCGAATATGAGATTTTTCCCAGTTATTTTTGTCAACTAGGTAGTTGAGAAGATACTTGATTGTATGCCCCTAAAAATCAGCCTTTGAATAAACGTCTTTAAACCTATAGAGTTATAGATTTACATACATGTATACATGCTACTTGATATAAGAATACTAGTGACATTTAGAATATTTGAATCATTACTATTTAAAATTTGACTTCCTAATCATTAAATTGGTGCATATTTTAGTGACAGGCTCTCCTTGCTTTCAGTGCAAGCTAATGGCCTGAAAGCCCACTCATTTTCTAGAGAAAAACCTATTCTTTCTATCTTCATTTTTTGAGAAAATGGGTATGAAATACTCAGGGGGGGCATATTACATCCAGAAGCCATAATAACACGTAGATCTTCAGGGACGTCAGCGATCATCACCACTAGAATGACAGCCGTGCGATTGCCGTGGCCGTGAACACCATATCAATTCATCAATGACCCATTTGCGAAGCTTTGTACTGACGTATTTCTACACACTAGTTGAATGTCCGTGCATTGCCACGAAACAACAAAGGGCATAGAGATCAAACAATTGTTTTAATTAAGAAATGTGCTCTAACAATCATAGCATGTGGTTTCCATTCCTATAACAACAAATTGATTCTCTCTTCAACTACTTTTATCTAGGCAGTCATTGAATACCTTTAACAGCCCTCTCCTTGTAAGAAGAAATAAAGCAACATCTTTCGTCCTTCCCCCCACCTTTATTATGTCACTGCCCTCTCTTCAAAATCTTGTACTTCTATTTATTATATAATTTATATTGATTCGGATTATTATTTTGATCTCTTTTCTGGCAGTCAGTTAATTGAAAGGAAACTTAACCAATATCTCTCAAAGCTAACCGAAAGGAAAGTTAACCAATATCGAGATACTCCCTCCGTCCGGAAATACTTGTCATCAAAATGAATAAAAAGGGATGTATCTAGATGTATTTTAGTTCTAGATACATCCCTTTTTGTTTATTTTGATGATAAGTATTTTCGGACGGAGGGAGTATAACACACATCGACGTATCTGCAAGAACACAAACTTAGTGTTGTCCCCCACCCAGCTTAGCCGAAGAAAAAGATGATAGTCATTTGCCACGCAACCCGACATCTTCACATTAGCAAGCATCCCACACAAACAGATGGTATCCACTAGCTACCAGGTGTCCCCATTGTGGAGCCAGATGCAAACTCGAAGCTCCATAATATGGATGAGATAGACACCAGAAGCATCATCGGCCCTTGACAGCTCGGCGTCGAAGGAGCCATACTCCAGTCCTTGCTGGATATGAATTACCGAGAAACTCGAGGTCGTCAAATCCATGGTGATGATGATGTCTCTCAGGGCAGCCACCATATAGATCTTACCGCCGAAGAACACATGCCGTATGTACATTGCCTGAAAAACAAATTTGGATCAGTTAGCTGGAGACAATACGGCTCGCCGCAGCGTGGTGAAGGCTTGACAGGTATTGGTTGGGAGTCCTGTTTGCATTAGATTCCTGCCCGGATTATACACCATCTGAAGGTGAGCGGCCGGAGGAGGAAAAAGAAAGAAAAGCATGAAAAAAGAGAAAATATATACTGGCCTAGAAATCGACTCACACACTGAATTGAAGTGCCAACTCAACTGTGCTTGTTTTCACCAGAAAACGGTAGGAAAGTATCCTACTGTGATTTTCTATTCAAGTATGTTTAAAAAAAAGGAAAACAGCGAGAGGGGATATACAAGGATCGAGAAATGGGAGCTACCTACAAATTACAAAGTATGTTTTATCCATGATTGAAGAAACTGCATCTGTATAATCTTAGCTACCTGCCAAAAGTGGGCTCTTCATTTCTGAATATTCTGCCACTTCTTATCTTCTACAGGAGATGTTCTACTGAAGGGGGTGCCAACTGCATCTGTTTGACACTCTGGAATTCCAGCATATTTGAGCAAATGTGCAGACCCAAAACAGATTTTTATCCAGATTTTTTTTTGAAAAGGAGCTTGAAAACCATAGGCCCATACATCAAAAGATGCACACAACGATCATTATTAAATTATTCAACAAAGGTCTAGCAAAAAACATAGTACATGAAACAGTACCAAGCAACGGCTTATTTGCCAAGGTCAGCTTGGTTTGGCAAAGGCACTTTCAGCAATACACTTATTTGCCAAGCTCCCTGGACACAGATGTACTTACTCAACATGAACAAGAACAGATTGGGAACTTGATGCACCATTCTTTTGGTTCCATGCTACTACTACTACTGTAATCTTTAAAAGGTACCAGCACCGACAAGAGCAGATTGGGCATAAAGTTTGAGTCCATTTTGCAATTCATGTGCTGGTTTCAGCAGATTAGACAAGAGACTGTTACTACAGGTAGTAGCATCAAACAAAAGCAAAAAAAAGCCCACGTAAATCCCGGTAGCAACAAGAACAGATTGGGGATGCATTTGAATTCAGATGGCAGCAACACCTGATCAAAAATGGTGTTACTAGGAAGTAGCAATTCATATTGGTAATGTTCGTAGATGTAGCATTTGAATTCAGATTGGGAATACATTTGCAATTCATATGGTGGTTACACAAGACGATGTTCATATATTCAGTAAGAAACAGCATCAAACATTTTCAGATCTCAGCACAGTATAGGGACTATTATGTTTCTGGAAGGATTTGATTCAGATATAGGAGCACTGACAACAGACCTCGTTCCAGCATTTCTACGAACACACGGCATGCGGCATCACCAAGATCACGCCCCAGTCGCTATGGCACCAAATCCAATCTAACGCATCAAAGAAGTGGACCATTAGCGCATGCGCCGCGGGGAGGTCCTCCTCCTTGCGGCCGGTGCCTCGGCGGCCTTCCTCTTCCTCGTCGATGGCGTCCTCGCCGTTAGCGCAGCCGCCGCGGCCTTCCTCTGTGGGGACGCCTTCGCCGATGCCTTGGCAGAAGGAGCAGAAGCCGCCGCGACAGCCTTCTTCCTCCGCAGCCCCCTTGCCGGAGTCACGAGCGCCACCTCCTCCGACTCGCCGGAGTCCGGGGAGTCCTCGTCCGACTCGCCGGACTCCTCCTCGTCCTCCTCCGACTCCTTACCGTCGACGGCCTCGCGCTCCTGGGCCGCGACGGCCCCCTCCTCCTCGTCCTTGTCCTCGTCGTCGTCGTCGGAGCCGAGCGCGTCGGCGCGGCGGAGCCTGCCGAGGCTGCCCTCGATGCGGCCCTGGAGACGGAGGCGCCTACTGCCTCGCGCGCCCGTGGACCACTGCGCCTCGCGCGCCCAGGAGAGGAGCGCCGGCGGGTCGGCGCGGTCGCCGCCGGGGAACACGCGCGGCCGCGGGAGCACGCCGCCGTAGAACCTGCCCGGACCGAGCTCGGCCACCATGGCGAATCAGATCCGGCCTAGCTTCTCGATCTCTTGATCCCGAAAGAAATTTCCTCTCTCTCTCGGTGGGTAGGTGCGGATGTTGACTGCGGCGGAGGCGATGGGGGCGGCGGGAGAGTTTATCGGCGGGAGGGAGACGCGCGCGCGGCGGGAAAGACGAAGTGGGTTTGGCGCCAAACAAAATGGGCTGACTCATCCATCAACTTTGTTTCTTGGCTGGCTGGGCCTGAAAACCACGGCCCACAAACGCCCAATCCCGAATTTGCAACCAAATTGTTACACAGCAGATTCTCAAAAAAATAATTTGTTTTTACAGCATTTTATGTTATTATATGATTCTAAATATATTTTGGGTTCAGTAGCTTAAACATATGTTGTAGCTCTGCCCATACCTTTGTTAGATTGTTTAAAACATGCACTGTGATAAATTCATCCGTACTATTTATTTAAACATGTCATTTATAGATTTTAAAAACATGTGTTCACGAATGAATGCAGGACTAGAAAGGTTCACACCCTTGTTAGCAATGTTGGGGACACAAGTGGAGTTTGTAACAAGAAACACGATACATTTTGCATCCATGAACTGATACCTTAATTTTTCTTACATGAGGAAAACTTGTTGATTGTTCCAAGCTGCTAAGCTTAAAAACCCAACAAATGCCAGCTGACATGCAACCATCAGCGGTGGCTCGGGTTTGGGTGGCGGCGGCCATTAGGAAGGGAGGATAGGGCTGGAGGCGGCGATGTTTGCTAGGTCTTACTTAAAAGAAATTCCTAGGTAAGTCTTGTGTGGACGAGCAGGCAAGCTTGGGTGACACGGCCGATTCGGTTCTCATAAAAAGTATAATCTTGTAAACTTCATTTGTACTGTTTTTTTGTATTGGCAAACTGATTTCAATATCGCAATGCAGAAACATACGTATCTAGCAAAAAAAAACAGTAGATAAATGCGACAAAGATAATTTCCATAATCGTGCACATGCAACACACCTGAATTTGATAGTATCTTGAGGAGCAATGAGAGTTTATTTTTACAAATATAATTTCTACTCTCTCCGATCCATATTAATCGCCACTGATTTAGTATGAAGTTGTATTAAATCAATGACAAATAATACTCCCTTTGTTCTTAAATATAAATCTTTTTAAAAATTTCAATATGGACTACATACAAAGCAAAATAATGAATCTACACTCTAAACTACTTCTATATACATCCATATGCAGTCTATATTGAAATCTCTGAAAGGATTTATATTTAGAAACAGAGGGAGTATGGATCGAAGGGAGTACAATTAATGATGTTTTCAAAAAGTAGTTGCAATAAATGATGTTTCCATGATTTGTAAAATTAATGCGATTAATATGTTTTCAAGATTTCTAAGAATAGTTGAGATATACAGATTGATGATACAAGATACTATGAAAATATTCCGCCATCAATTTCTGGAAAAAAAAGAAAAAATATGATCTTGCGAATTACAAACTTCATTTATGCCCACGTGGCTCTTAAATGAAAGATAATAAATTGGTCTCTCTCCTCACTATTTCCCTCTACATATAGTACGAGTTATGTGCTCGACGGTAAGCAATCTTACATGTGACACACGCACACACACACACACACATTCCCATCGACAATCATAGAACATCACGTCAGTGCCTAGTAGTGTTGCATCAGAGGAAAGGATGGAGAAGCACACGATCCGGATTGTTGCGCTCGCCCTGTTATCTGTACACCTCCTATGCTCCGCCACCATAGCGCAATGTAAGCAGTGCATCCGCAAACAACATTGCTATTTCACTTTCTAATTTATATATCTTCGCAAAATTTCGATTGTTTCTTGTTTTCTTTATCAATCCAGAGCGAAACATGATTTGTATGCTATTCGACAGGCCAAACCATCACGGCCGGCGTGGACAACGACGATATTCCTGAAGTGAGCTATAGTTGCAAGAAAAAGTGCTCCTTCTTCAATTGTTGCGCATGTTGTATTCTTACTGACTGGTGCCACACAACTTTCCCAAGGTGCGCTAGAAACTGCGGGGAACCCTTCTCGCATTCTGATGAAATGCTAGCCGCGGCGACGGTGACCTCCGAAACTATGCCGACCAGGTCTGCAGTACACACAGATATCTTCATGCGAGGCGTCGTCCCAAATGAGTTCGGCAATTGTCGTGTTTAGTATAGCATCGTTGCGGTGACCCCTGCCCCTCTACCCGTCTAGGCGAATTCATTTACTTGTCCCTTAAGGCAATTGTAATGCGTGATGTGTGGAGAAATAAGTGTGCAATATCCTAAATAGCTGTTGTAGTTTTATTTGTCATATTTTGTTTGAAATTTTTTATTTCCAATTATTTCTGGCTAAGTTTTATCGCACAACAAGTAATGTGAGGCCTAAAACAAGTGTCTGTTTTCCCACCATACATACATACATACATACATACATACATACATGTGGAGTGTGTATGAATCTAGCGACTGGCCGCCGTGACGAGTGCCATGGAACAAGATCTCTAATAAATGCTTCTGATTCGGACCAAAAACATATCTCTGGTTTTACATAGAGAAGAATAATATGTAGAAATTCCAGCACCTATTAATTATTACTCCCTTCAATCCATAATAATTGTCGCTGATTTAGTACGGTGGTATTAGCTGGAGATGCTCTCAGTGCTTTGCCCTCAGAGGCAAGTCCTAGCGATCGTAAACGAAACGGCAGTCCCAGGAGTAGACAGTGGTAAAAATACTATAACGATTCTAGCGCAACGCAAGTCCTAAAGTAGACAGCAGCAAATTGTATTTTCCAAAAAAATATTTTTTTATAATATACATTGAACAAGTTTTAAAATATAGTGAACCTTTTTTGTAAGCAAACACTGAACAAATTTCAAATACACAAATGAACATTTTGTAGTATGGGTTGAACAATTGTTTAATGCACGATGAACAAAGTTTAAATACACAATGAACATTTTGTAGTATGCCTTGAACAATTGCTTAATGTACGATGAAATTTTTTTAAGTACACAATGAACATTTTTTTAATATACGTTGAACAATTTCATAATATACGATGGACATTTTTGTAATACATGATGAACATTTTTAAAAATTCAAACATGACCTATTTCATAGTATATATGATGAAGCTTTTCTTAATACGATGAAGATTTTGGTAATACACGGTGGACTTTTATATAATACGCAATAAAGAGAAGAAAAACAGAAACAGAAAATAGAAAAGTAAACATAAAAGAAAAAAATGAAGGGAGAGAGGAACCAAAAGAGAGAAAAAAAATAAAAACCGGAACAAAACAGCTGAAACCCGGACAAAAACAGTGACAAAACTGGATATAAAAACCATAGAAGAAAAACGAAGAAAAAACCCGCAAGGAATAGAGAAGGAAGCAGCAGCGAACGAATCAAACGACAAAAGCCAATCCCGTACGTGGGTCGGCCCAACAGGAGGCTAAATAGGGTTTGCGGACCCTGGGGCCCCTAGTATTTCGGGACCCTGTGCAAGCGCACAGCTCGCACAGGCCCTTCAACGGGTTGTAGTCTTGTAGAGACACGTCTTGTGAACATGCACATTATTTTGAAAATAAATAAAATATTTAAATTTACTTTAAAATATCAAAACATGGGAGCATGCAATATTCTTGTTGTATGAACAGTCGAATAATAAATACCAATTGAAAAAGTACACAAATATAATTTTTTACCATGAATATGAATATTTCTTCTCACGGCGTGCAATTTTTTCTTTTTGTGGGTTGTAGGCACATGTGTTGTGAATGTTCACAGTTGTTCCATTTCATTAGACATTTAAATTTGATTCTTGTTCTTCTTTTAAACATGGAAGTGAGAGCAACTACACCATGATCTGTTGCCATGAAGAGAGACACCCCAGATCAAGATAGTTGCAATATTTTGATGATGATTGCAGATGTTACTTTTTTTTTATTCGGTGACCGAGTCTCAATCATTCCGATGGTTTCTGTCGTGAGTTAATTCAACATATATGCACACCCGGGAGTGTTTACAAGTATAGGCATGTGAACTGTCCAAGGAAGATGATACTATCTGATGGAATCATCCAGCAGTTCCTGATGGTTGTGCTCTCAAGTGGTATTTTCCTAATATATAGACATAAAGAATATATCCTGCTTTAATTGTTCTAACAGATTGTTATTCTTTTATTGCTTAAGTGCTACACCTATTGCCTAATTATGTCCAGCTTTTCGGAATTAGTAAGATTAACTTTACTAATATCTCTTCATTGTCATAGTTGTTTGACACAGCGTAAATGCAATTGTTTTTGGAACAGGTTATCCTGACTTCTCAAGCCATAATTTTAACAATATTAATTAGAATATAATAGACGGGATGCATAATATGCTTATGGAAAGCTATATTCAGTTATTGAACCAAAGTTCTTCATTATGCTAAGTTTAAGAACTTTCTCACTTGCCTGGAATTGTCTTATGAAGTCAAATTTGCTCACTACTTTATGTCATTTCAAACTTACTTTTCTCGCTAATTATCGTATAATAATTTACTCACTGAATGTAGAGGTTCAATAAAATTGCTGAATTATGGTACAACCTGAACTGGTATGTTTCTCTTCTCGTCGTCATGCATATCTTCTTGCACACTATTCTGTTTCTACTCTTCAAGTGACAGCACTGTCCTTCCTGTTAATGTAGATGACTGCTCGATGTTGTCACAAGATGAAGATAAGAAGTGAGATATGATGCAAGTGACTAAGAAGAAGCATTATCACCTCCAAAGGAAATCTCCAATGCCTATTTGAATTGTGGGTTTTTTATTTGCACTTAGTTTTTCAGATGTTTTGGTTGAGCGGATGATTGAGTAGTACCGGGAGCAAACATTGATATAAAAACACATAATCTTTGTATTTCTAGCCAATTGTGCATTGTTCAGTTTTATGAAATGGGTTTATTTTATCTAAATTATCTATATTTCATTTGTCTAATATATCCAGTTTTTTCTTGCTACAATTCCCGCAGCAACGCGCGGGGTGTCATCTAGTTTTCATAATCGTGCACATGCAACACACGTCCAATTTAATAGTATGTTGAGCCGCAATAAGAGTTTATTTTTACAAATATACTTTCTATTCTCTCTGATCCTATTAATTGTCGCTAATTTAATATGAAGTTGTACTAAATAAACGACAATTAATATGGATCGAAGGGAGTACAATTAATCATGTTTTAAAAAATTAATTTTAATAAATGATGTTTCCATGATTTGTAAAAGTAATCACAATTAATATGTTTTCAAGATTAGATGAGATATATAGATTAATCATACAAGATATTATGTAAATATTCCGCCATCAATTTAAGGAAACTTGTGTCAAGAAAAAAAAAGACGATCTTGCGAATTACAAACTTCATTTATGCCCACGTGGCTCTTAAATGAAAGATAATAAATTGATCTCTCCCCTCACGATTTCCCTGTATATATAGTACGAGTCATGTGCTCGACGGTAAGCAATCTTACAAGTGAGATACACACACACACACACACACACATTCTCATCAACACCCATAGAACATCACATCCGTGCCTAGTAGTGTTGCATCAGAGGAGAGGATGGAGAAGCACACGATCCAGATCGCTGTGCTGGCCCTGTTATCTGTACACCTCCTATGCTCCGCAACCATAGCACAATGTAAGCAATGCATCCGCAAACAACATTGCTATTTCACTATCTAAATTTATATATCTTTGCAAAATTTCGGTTGTTTCTTATTTTGTTTATCAATCCAGAGAGAAAAGTGACTTGTATGCTATTCAACAGGCCGAACCATTGCGGCTGGCATGGACAACGACGATATCCATGAAGAGGACATCGTATGTTGCCACAAAAAGTGCTCCTTCTTTCATTGTTGTGCCTGTTGTACTTATACTGACTGGTGCTACACAAGTTTCGAGAGGTGCAATAGAAACTGCCTGGTTCCCTTATCGCATTCTGATGAAGTGCTAGCCGCGACGCCGGTGACCCCCGAAACTGTGGCAACTAGGTCTGCAGTACGCACGGACGGCTTCATGAGAGGCGTCATCCCAGAAGAGTTCGGCAATTGTCATGTGTAGTATAGCATCGCGGCGGTGACCCCTGCTCCTTTACCCGCCTAGCCGAATTTATTTGCCTGTCCCTTAAGGCATATGTAATGCGTGATGTGTGAAGAAATAAGTTTCCAATACCCTAGACAGCTATTGCAGTTTTATTTGTCATATTTTGTTTGAACTTTTTATTTCCAATTATTTCTTGCTAAGTTATATGGTACAACAAGTAATGTGAGGCCTAAAACAAGTGTTTATTTTCCCACCATACATACACACATAAATACACACATACATACATACATACATACATACATACATACATACATACATATGGAGTGCGTATGAATCTGACGACTGACTGCCGTGACGAGTGCCATGGAACAACATCTCTAATAAATGCTTCTGATTCGGACCAAAAACATATCTTTGGTTTTACATAGGGAAGAATAATATGTAGAATTCCAGCACCTATTAATTATTACTCCCTTCAATCCATAATAATTGTCGCTGATTTAGTACATTGGTTTTAGCTGGTAAAGAAAATGTTGGTGGAAGTAGCAGCAAACATAAGTAAGAAACGGACGGTCATATGTTCAGTACCAACAAAAGAATAGACTTCCTTCGAAATGAAAAAACAGAAAAAGAGAATGGGAACCCACTTGAAATCTTTTTGCAGTTCAGATCTGAGCACGGTACAGGGACTAGTAAGCACCAAACATTTTCAGATCTGTGTCCAGTACACGGACTAATAAGCACCGGACAGTTTCAGATCCGAGTCCAGTACAGGGACTTCTTTTTTTGCGGGTGCAGTAAGGGACTAGTAGTATGTTTCTGGAGGGATTTGATTCAACTAGATTTCGTTCCACCATTTCAACGAACAAACAGCGTGCTGCATCTCCAAGAACTGGACCATCAGTGGTTTGCCCTCAGTGTAGAAGGAATAATCATGGCATTGACTTCACTGGTAGCACTGTCATCATTGTCAGGTTCTAAAACTGAATCTTGATAGAGCGCCACCATTTCCCGGACATCATGCAACTGGACTTCTTGTTTACATTAATGGCCTCTTCCCCATTTCTCATCAAAAATGAAACAAAGCCCTTCAACATGCCTATAAGCTCTCAGCGCCAACCATTTGTCTTCCTGTCCTATTCCTCGACCAGGCTCTGAAACTCGTTTCTCTTCGATAGACTTGGTTGTAGAAGATTTCAGAGCTGGAAGAGTGGGACTCTAAAAGGTGTTAACTCTCTTAGTAACTAAAGGTGTAGAAGATTTCACAGTTTCATCACCTAATTCTTCATGTAACAAGGCGAGCTGGTAGGCCGAATCCAGAGCAGATGGTTGCGGCAAACCAACCATGACTCTTACGGCAGGTTTCAACCCTTCCATGAATCTGGTAACATAGTGGATAGTGTTAGGAAACTCCTCGTATGCTGTGATTTGATCATACACTTCAGTAAACACTCCCACATAATTCTCCACTATGCTAGTGTACTGAATGTTGAACATCTTTGGGAGCAGACTCTGGTGATGGTTTCTGCCAAAGCAAGACTGCAACAGGCGACAAAATTCTTCCCAGGTACGATTTGGTACCCGTCGCTGAACTGACTCCAACCAATGAGCATCCGGACCCTCAAACATGGATGAAGAGAAAGGAATCCACTGATGACGCAACGTGCTCCATAGTTTAAAATAATCTTCATATTGGTTCCTCCAGAGCTTCGGATTGGAGCCATCAAATTGGTTCCTCGAGAGCTTCAGATTGGGGTCGATGGTACCGCCTACCACCGTAGAAGATGCGGTGGCTGCTCATACCTTCGGAGAGTTGAGCTTGGGAGACCCAGGCTCAGAGCGTGCAGCATGGTTAAGTTCACCTCACAGCTCGTCTAAATCGACACCAATGGAGACCTTGACGTCATCGATCTGCCCCGATAGCTGATCCAATTTGGCGTCCAACCTAGCGATAGCGCAGATGGTGTGGTCGCTGTGGTCGGAGAGGCTCTTTGTCAACGCCTGGTCGAAATCACCCCGCAGTTGCTCATAGATCGCCTTCGTCTCTGGCTAGATCCAATCCATGGCCTCCTCTTGACAATGATCCGCGAATCTGGTGTGGTGGGGATGGGTGGCAACTCTAGGGTTACAAGGCTCTGATATCAGATTGTAAGGAGCTCTATTTCAAATCTATGGTGGCTATGCCTCGAGTTCAGATTACAATTTGAATTCACTGCAAATGGAGTCCATCTGGCTCACGCCATGGATGCCTCATCTCTATCCTAGCCAAAATAGATTGCCGTCCTGGTCTATCCTTCCTCTCCTCTCTCTTGGCACACAACTTAAATAATTACAAGGCTAAGGCCCATTATGCGCTTGCAAGCCACGTCAGAAGCTGCGTTCGTCGCTTGGGCCGGCTTGTATCTTTAAACATGGCTTCCCGCACCTTAGGTGCCTGTAGGTCGTTGAGAGTCTTACTTAAAAGAAATTCCTAGCTAGGTCTCGTGTGGATGAGCAGGCAAGCTCGGTTGGCATGGCCGATTTGGTTCTCATGAAAACTCTTATAAACTTCATCTAAGGCAAACTGATTTCAATATCACGGTGCAAAAACAGTAGACAAATGCAACAAACAATAATTTCCATAATCGTGCACGCACGAGTTTGATAGTATCTTGACGTGCAATGAGAATCTGTTTTTATAAATATAATACCTACTATCTTTGGTTCATATAATTGTCGCTGAGTTAGTATTAACTTGTACTAAATCACCGACAAATAATATTGATTGAAAGGAGTACATGTGTTTTCAAAAATTATATGCAATTAATGATGTTTCCATGATTTCAATACAATTAATAGATTTCCAAGATCTCTACGATTACTTGAGATATATAGATTGATGATACAAGATACTATACAAATATTCCGCCATCAATTTCCATAAACTTGTGTCAAGAGAAAAGAAAAAAAGATGATCTTGCGAATTAAGTTCTTCATTTATGCCCACGTGGCTCTTGAATGAAAAATACTAAGCTGATCTCTCTCCTCACGATCTCCCTGTATATATAGCACGAGCCATGTGCTCGACGGGAAGCAATCGTATGAGTGAAACATACATACATATTTTTCATCAACAACCATAGAATATCACGTCAGTGCCTTGTAGTGTTGTATTAGAGGAGAGGATGGACAAGCAAACGATCCGGATCGCTGCGCTGGCCCTGCTATCTCTACACCTCCTATGCTCCGCCACCATAGCGCAATGTAAGCAGTGCATCTGCAAACAACATTGCTATTTCACTCTCTAATTTGTATATCTTCGCAAAATTTCGGTTGTTTCTTGTTTTGTTTATCAATTCGGAGAGAAAAGTGATATGTATGCTATTCGACAGGCCGAACCGTCGCAGCCGGCATGGACAACGACGATATCCATGAAATGAGCGTGGGTTGCCAGAAAAAGTGCTCCTACGCCTATCATTGTTGCATCTGTTGTATTAATACTGACTGGTGCTACACAAGTTCCGAGAGGTGCGATAGAAACTGCCCGGATCTCTTCTCGCATTCTGATGAAACTGTGCTGACCAGGTCTGCAGTACGCACGGACGGCTTGATGAGAGGCATCATCCCACAAGAGTTCGGCAATTGTCGTGTGTAGTATAGCATCGTTGCGGTGACCCCTGCCCCTTTACCCGCCTAGTCGAATTTATTTACTTGTCCCTTAAGGCATATGTAATGCGTCATGTGTGGAGAAATAAGTTTGCAATACCCTAGATAGCTGTTGCGGTTTTATTTGTCATATTTTGTTTGAATGTTTTTATTTCCAGTTATTTCTGGCTAAGTTATATTGTACAACAAGTAATGTGAGGCCTAAAACAAGTGTCTGTTTTCCCACCATACATACATACATGAATGTGGAGCGTGTATGAATCTGGCGACTGACTGCCGTGATGGGTGCTGAGGGAGTCCCGGACTAGGGGGTGTCCGGACAGCCGAACTATCATCGTCGGCCGGACTCCAAGACTATGAAGATACAAGATTGAAGATTTCATCCCGTGTCCGGATGGGACTTTCCTTGGCGTGGAAGGCAAGCTTGGCGATACGGATATGTAGATCTCCTACCATTATAACCGACTCTGTGTAACCCTAGCCCTCTCCGGTGTCTATATAAACCGGATGGCTTTAGTCCGTAGGACGAAGAACAACAATTATACCATAGGCTAGCTTCTAGGGTTTAGCCTCCTTGATCTCGTGGTAGATCTACTCTTGTAATACCCACATCATCAATATCAATCAAGCAGGACGTAGGGTTTTACCTCCATCAAGAGGGCCCAAACCTGGGTAAAACATTGTGTCCCTTGTCTCCTGTTACCATCCGCCTAGACGCACAGTTCGGGACCCCCTACCCGAGATTCGCCGGTTTTGACATCGACATTGGTGCTTTCATTGAGAGTTCCTCTGTGTCGTCACCGATAGGCTCGATGGCTTCTTCGATCATCACCAACGACGCAGTCCAGGGTGAGACTTTTCTCCCCGGACAGATCTTTGTATTCGGCGGCTTTGCACTGCGGGCCAATTCGCTTGGCCATCTGGAGCAGATTGAAACCTACGCCCCTGGCTGTCAGGTCAGATTTGGAAGTTTGAACTTTACGGTTGACATCCGCGGAGACTTGATCTTCGATGGATTTGAACCACAGCCGAGCGCGCCGCACTGTCACGATGGGCATGATTTAGCTCTACAGCCAGACAGTGCCCTGGAGGCCGCACACCAGCCCGCTCCGACCCTCGATTCGAAGCCGGCTGCGCAGATCAAGGACGGATGGTTAGACGCCGCCTCGGGGGCTGCAACCTCTACGGCGATGGAGTCGAATACTAGCCTTGTCCCCTGTGAAGCTCGTGACTCCGAGGTGCCGGACTTCTCGCCGGACTCCGTACCTCCCGCGACCCCTCCAATTGAATCCGATTGGGCACCGATCATGGAGTTCACCGCTGCGGACATCTTTCAACACTCACCTTTCGGCGACATCTTAAGTTTGCTAAAGTATCTCTCGTTATCAGGAGAGCCCTGGCCGGACTGCGGTCAGGACGGTTGGGATACGGCTGATCGGCCACCCGGTGGCCGCGACAGAGAGGCCTCTAGGCCCTCCATTAGAACCGTACCCCGACGTCGCTCGAAAAGCACAAGACCATAGGGGAACGCTCCGGACTTGCGAGACATATTGGAGGATAAGGCAAAACAATCAAGATTGATCTACGGATCGTGGGAGCGCCCCATGATACGTGACGACAACCGTCGCGCCGGACACAGCAAGTCCGGCCGGGCCGAACACAGTAGACAAAACTCTTTTGAGCTTCGTCGTGATATAGCCCAATATAGAGGCGCCGCACACCCACTATGCTTCACAGATGAAGTAATGGATCATCAAATCCCCGAAGGGTTTAAACCCGTGAATATTGAATCTTATGATGGCACAACGGACCCCGCGGTTTGGATCGAAGACTATCTCCTTCATATCCACATGGCCCGCGGTGATGATCTCCACGCCATCAAATACCTCCCACTCAAGCTTAAAGGACCAGCTCGGCATTGGCTTAACAGCTTACTAGCAGAATCAATTGGGAGTTGGGAGGACCTGGAAGCCGCATTCCTTGATAACTTCCAGGGCACGTATGTGCGACCACCAGACGCTGACGACCTAAGCCACATAATTCAGCAGCCAGACGAATCGGCCAGACAATTCTGGACACGGTTCTTAACTAAGAAAAATCAAATCGTCGACTATTCGGATGCAGAGGCCCTCGCGGCCTTCAAACATAACATCCATGACGAGTGGCTTGCCCGGCACCTGGGGCAGGAAAAGCCAAAATCCATGGCAGCCCTCAGATCACTCATGACCCGCTTCTGCGCGGGAGAAAACAGCTGGCTAGCCCGCAGCAACAACCTCAGCAAAAATTCTGGCAGGCCGGATATCAAGGACCACAATGGCAGGTCGCATCGCAACAAGAACAAATGCCGCATTAACAGCGACAATAACGAGGATACGACAGTCAATGCCGGATTCAGAGGCTCTAAATCCGGTCAGCGGAAAAATCCATTCAAAAGAACTACTCCGGGTCCGTCCAATTTGGACCGAATACTCGACCTCTCGTGCCAGATACACGACACCCCCGACAAGCAAGCTAACCACACCAAGAGGGACTGTTGGGTATTCAAGCAGGCAGGCAAGTTAATTGCCGAAAACAACGACAAGGGGTTGCATAGCGATGACGAGGAAGAGACCCGACCGCCGAACAATAGAGGACAGAAGGGTTTCCCCCCACAAGTGTGGACGGTGAACATGATATACGCAACCCACATACCCAAGAGGGAGCGGAAGCGTGCACTTAGGGATGTATACGCGATGGAGCCAGTCGCCCCGAAGTTCAACCCATGGTCCTCTTGCCCGATCACTTTTGATCGAAGGGACCACCCCACCAGCATCCGCCACGGCGGATTCGCCGCATTGGTGCTAGACCCAATCGTCGATGGATTTCACCTCACCAGAGTCCTGATGGACGGCGGCAGCAGTCTGAACCTGCTTTATCAGGATACAGTGCGCAAAATGGGCATAGACCCCTCAAGGATAAAATCCACAAAGACGATCTTTAAAGGCGTCATACCAGGTGTAGAGGCCAATTGTACAGGCTCAGTTACACTGGAAGTGGTCTTCGGATCCCCGGATAACTTCAGAAGCGAGGAGTTAATCTTTGACATAGTTCCGTTCCGCAACGGCTATCATGCTCTGCTCGGACGTATCGCGTTTGCAAAGTTCAACGTGGTGCCGTACTATGCATACCTCAAGCTCAAGATGCCAGGCCCTCGAGGAGTCATCACGGTCAACGGAAACACGTAACGCTCTCTCCGAACGGAGGAACATACAGCGGCTCTCGCGGCAGAAGTACAGTGCAGCCTCTTAAGGCAATTCTCGAGTCCGGCCGTTAAGCGACCGGACACGGCTAAACGCGCCCGGAGTAACCTACAACAAGACCACATGGCACGTTCCGAGCACGCGTAGCAGTGCGGCCCCAACCCCAGCCCCTGCAAAATTTCAAGACATGTCCTTCGCGTACATCATTACGCTCTGGAGATACCATGGGCATGAGGGGAGGGGCACGATCACGATAGGCCCAGAATGCGGCTTAACCACACCAGGGGCTCTCAAGTGTGTCGTTCTTTTTTTTCTTCTTATCTTTACCCACAGGACTCCGTTCATCAGAGGCCCTGTCCGGCAGCAGACCTGCCGAACTCACGATGCAACAGCCAGGGAAGGAGAAGGGCTACGACGAATATCCAGATGGTCTCCATTACGAGCATTAAATCTGTTTTATACATCATTCCGCAGCCTACCCTTGGAGGGGGACATGTTTAATAGTCTCATCCCTTGCTTATCGCACCATTTGTATCGTTCTGCATTCACAGCAGTATCTCTTGAATAAACAATGCAGCACCTTTTTGCTTACAATTGCATTTCTTTCTTATACATATGTTCATTTATGACATGTTGCATCCGTACACTTTGGTACGGCTAAATACACCAGGGGCTTATGTTTCCCGCATCATGGTGTGATAAGTCCGAACACTTTCATCAGTGCGGCACCCCAAACTTATAGCATTATATGCATCGGCTCCGAATTATGTCTTGGGTCAATAGTTGGGTTTGCCCGGCTCCCATGTTTTGGTACCTTATGTTCCGTTGTATCGGCTAAGGTAGCACTGGGAGAACCACTGCGATTGCGCCCCAGTTGAGCTGGGCGAGCGCCTCAGTGGAGAAAGCTAAAACTGACCGTCATGATGAGGCGAGAGCCGGTCGCTGTTCGAGAGGTTTTTTGCGAGTCCCTAAAGACTTATGCTGCTTAGAGCGAGGAGCCGGCTTTGTCCGTCCCAGGCGTGGATAGCGACCCAAATTCGGCCTTTCGAACACTAAGGGCTTTGCCGAAATTTAAAATTATAGAATTCTATGGCTAAGTGAGAGTGTTCAAGCATTATAAGTCCGGTTGTCTTGTTCGTTGTGTTGAGCGCCTTCCTAGATGGACCCAAAAATGGGAACAAGAGTGCTCAAATTTATGCCGAACACCCCAGCACTCGTGGCATGGGGGCTGAAGCCGACGACTTGCCATCTCTCAGATTTGATAAACAGCCGCACAGAAGGTAATATTTTAAATTAACAAGCGTTGCTTAGCGCATATGAACAAAGTTTTCAGCGCACAGGATAACAAAATGCGAGTCTACTCAAATATTACATCTTTGGAGAACTCACCCGCAATAATGCGGGCACCCTTCAGGACACTCTTATAATACATCTCGGGCGTGCGATACTCCTTGCCCAGTGGTGGCGCGTCCGTCACAAGCTTCTGAGCATCCATCTTGCCCCAGTGCACCTTAGCGCGGGCAAGGACCCGACGGGCACCTTCAATGCAGACGGAGTGCTTGATGACTTCAACCCATGGACAGGCATCCACCAGCCGCCGCACCAAGCCGAAGTAGCTCCCAGGCATGGCCTCCTTAGGCCACAGCCGAACTATGAGGCCCTTCATGGCCTGTTCGGCCACCTTGTGGAGCTCGACCAGCTGCTTCAGCTGGTCGCTAAGGGGCACCGGATGCCCGGCCTCAGCATACTG